TCTTTAAATTTAATAGTTTTACATTTTCACCTTATCAAATCGTATCGATTCGCTCTAAATTCAGGTTACTTGTAAATTTAGCTGAACTCACAAATTTACACACGAAATTTATTGTTTTTATGTTTTTAACTTACAAAATCGTATTAATTCACTCTTAAACTCATTAATTTTTTAAAATTTGATTATGATTAGTGATTTTATATAAGAACTTTATAAAAATTTCTTTCTTAAGTATGGTAAACTATAAATATTTATTATTTATGGACTTAATTCCAATTATTTGAATTTGAAATATATCCAAATAAAATTGTAGTCATTTTTACATTTTAATTATTTTATTATATACATTTAATAGTTACTTATTCTTAATAGTAAACGTTTACAAGTTTACATTCCCGTCACGTGTTTTTTAGATTTGAGTTTAATAACATTGGCTGGAAGCATACATTATTATTTATCCAACCACAACAAAACTCATTCAAGTTTTTTATCCTTTAATTTTGAGTAATTTGAACTCTTAAAGCTTTTTAGTAACCTCAAGTTAGCCGTAGTTGACGGGCACAAGAGCAATAAATCAATGATGAAAGACTTACCAAAATTGTTTGAATTACTGTGACTTAAGAAGTAACTTTGCAATTTTAAAGGTATTTTGAGTATATTTTATGTAGATCAAGAAAGATTTTAAACTGTATTAATTTTCTATTAAAATACAACAACTTTCTAACTTGACCCCTATTTAATACACACACTTTTTAAAAAAAAACAATATTTTAATAAATGAATGATAAAATTGTAAATTCATGCAAAAGATTTAATGAAGTAATTTATAAATAGGACCAAGAAAAATCTTCTCTCTTTACCTTATAAACAAGACTAGAGAAGTAGTCTGTAACCCCAGTCCCCGAGGTGAGTTGGCTCCTGTATTAGGGATAAAGGGCATCTCCTTAACCTTAAGGAACATACCTTGCAATTTGTCTTTTTTATGTTATATGCACAGGTATATATCTTTTATTGGAAGTAATTATGTTTAGGGTATGGCCAAATATTAAACACGAGCATATCTCTTAATAAGAATTCGATTATGGAAAGCTAGATTATAACCACAAAAACATAATTTTCCAAAACACATTAACTATTTATTTTCTCCAAACAATATTGAATAGTTTCTTTCATGAACTATTATTCCTTGGGTGGAAAATTTAAAAGTCGGGACAAATAGTAACAAAAAAGTTGGAATCCCATTCCACACGTTGAGACTGATAATGTGGTTGTTTATTCAGTCTATAATCAACTTACATCCAAACACCTATAAAATGAACACATTAATTTTCTTTGTTGTCTTATCCTATCACTTCTATTTTCTTTTTTCGAGAGACTTTATTATATGTATATCTTTGCGTTCTTGGGGGGTATAGGAGTATAAAGTCGATGGTGAAAGACTTGAATAAAAGTGAATACATTGCCTTTTTTAATACGCTCATTAATAAAAGAATTTTCCGCATGCATACTTTCTCCAATCCACAATATAAGTCGCTTATAGAGAATTGTTTGGTCCAAAAATATAAATCACTTGGAGAGTAATTAATATGCTTATTTGTTAATTTTGTCCTTACAATTAATGCTTAAATGTAACTTTTTATATATATATATATATATATATTTCTCTCTTCTTCACACAATCTCATTTAACATAGGTAAAGTTGAAAAAAAAATTCAATTTGAAACAAATTTAATGAGTTAACTATTATTTTTTTTATTTTAACGAATTAGTTAAAATGACTTGTATTATGGACCGAAGAAAATACTAGAACAACTTTTTCTCCGGCCAAACAATGAATAGTCTCTTTTATTAGTTATTCAAATGTGGAAAATTTGAAAGTTGGGACCAAAGTCACATATGGGAACAATATGTATATAGGATGGACCACGACAATAATTTTCAGTATTCACCATTTTCCTATCACTTTCTTTTTCATTTCTTTTTCTTATAAAGAGTGCAATTCTGATACATTTTATTACTACATTGAATATTGATGATTGTGATGTGCTTATGATAATAGTGGAAATAGAATTATATGTTGGCGAGGTACTTAGATGTCATGTTGAAATTATTTATACTTTGGCGATATTCTGAACATAAAGTATCAATTAAATAATTTGAACATCCCTCAAACACATAAGTTTCCTTAAATATAGATAGGGTTTGCTTGTTACTCATACTTGGAAGATTTTCAAGCGAGAAATAATTTGGACTGATGGGTGAAAATAAATTAAATTTCCTTTTCAAGATAAAAAATTTCTCTTGTTCATTAATTAGATGACTTACTTTTTTACAAAACAAGACGTATTCAATAGGCACTCTCCAACCTAATAACACGGCAAGTTAGAAAATAATAGAGAACGTCCCATCCATATCAATTAATGAGATGATGGGCCATTACTCTAACTTGAAACAGCTTGGGTTATAACTTTTTTACTTTCTTCCACTTCTTAACATAAAATTAGTTAACTTATTTGAAAAGATTAAAAAAAAATTACCTTAAAGTATTTATCTTTATCTTTTTTTCTAAACTATTTTTTCACTCTTATAAATTGATATATATAATCTAATAATACATGTAAACATTTTAGAGAGATTGTGTAATATATGCTATAATTAAGTAGTTGAATAACTTTCTTAATCTCTCTAAATTAATCAATTGGATCTTATATTATGGACAAGAGGGAGTATATTATATAACTTGAGCGTGCATTATCAATTGGGAGATAATTATATCATTAGAAAATGTTCTTTTTTTGGTTCTCCAGAACAAATTTTAATATATATATATAAAATAAAATATCTGAAATCCAACAGCAATAATTTTAATTTAAATATTCCTTGTAGCTCCACAATCTATGCCACAACTTTCTAGGGAAAACAAATTGTTGGGAGCACATATTATTTATCCAATCATAAAAAAATTCATTCAAGTCATTTTTATCCTTTTGAGTAATTTAGAACTTTAAAGTTTTTTTTTATAGCAAAATTTGAAAAACTATGGTGGTTGGATGTAACCTTATGATCTATATGTTTGTCGTAGTTGACGGACAACAATATTAAGTCAATAATGAAAGACATAAAAAAAAAGGTTAAATTATGATTTAAGAATCATCTCGACTATAATTTGCGATTTTAACACGCACAAACATAATAACTCAATTACGAAAATTTTTCCACTTTATACGTATAAGTATCTTCTTACTAGAAATACTCCTATTTGAAACATGATAGATATTAAATGTGAATGTCTCTCAATGTGAATTCAATTATGAAAGACTTATAACTACAAAACATAATTTTCCACAGCACATACATTAGCAATTTATTTTCTCCAAAGAACAATAGTCTCTTTCATGAACTGTGATTGTATGGAAAAATTATTAAATTAATAATAGCTAGGGACAAAAATAATAGCAAGGAAGTTGGAATCCCATTCCACACGTTGCTACTAATCATGTGGTTGTCTATTAGTCTATAATAATCAACTTATATGCAAACACCTATAGAATGACCACATTAATTAATTTTCTTTTTCATCATTATCCTGTCAACTTTATTTTCTTTTATCTTGACTAGTCTCTAATCAACTCCATACAAACAAATATGGATAGAATGGCCCACAATAATTTTCTATCTTCAACATTAATTCCATCACTTTTGACGAAATAATTCTTTTGGTGATTTAATTAAATATTGGTTAGATTTAGCAGAAGGGGCTAATTTCTTACGATATGGCGAACTAAGATTCTAATTTCTGTTAAGAGATGTATTCATATTTAATACCTGACAATACCTTGAAAATAATTGCTTCTGATAGGAAAATGTTTGTGCCCAGAAAAAAATGTTATGCTGAAATTGTTTATATTCTGACATTTGTAAAAATAAAAGGATTGACTACATAATTTGATCATCCTTTGTAACAAGAAAAAAATTAAACACCTTGTGTGTGTGTGTGAAGGATTTATTTGTTACTCTTACATATAGAAGGTTTACAAGAAAAAAATAACTATGTGGACTCGATGGATGAAATTAATTTTCCTTTTCAATACATACAAAATTATATAAATAAAATTTCTTATATTTTTATCCTTATTTCTCTTATTCATTACTAAATTTTTGCATTACAAGACGTATTCTATATGTAGAACCCAACTTGAACAACGAGGCAGGTTAGAAAATAACAAAGGACCCATTCATATCGCCCAATTAAATGATGGGCCATTTTTCTAACCACCAATATTCATGGAAAAAATATTCTAACCGCTAATACATAATAACGATCATGTGGCTTCAAAAACAATTATTTAGAGTTTTTCGTATTTTCTTAATTATGCATATGTTTTTTAAAAATAAGCAAAAACTTTCTGCAAGAAAATAGTCATGGCACTATATATAAATAACCAGCAACTTTCTGCAATAAAATTCATGTTCTTCAAGCCTCTGAGTAATTTTTATTTTAAAACTTTTCTTTTGCAAATTAAAAAAATTACATACCGTAGTTGACCAGCACAAGAGTAGACTTACCGGTCCCAAAAAAATAGGGACAACTGTGGAACCTTCTTGTTTTGTTTTCTTTGAACCTTAGAACACGCACGTTTACCTCCATACCTTTATTGTCATTGATGATTTTAATATCTTCATATAATAACAAGAGAATAAAAGAATTATTTCAGCAAGTTATTTAAATGTGTATTAAATTCTTTTTATTTTAGCACCCTTTAAAATAAAAGGGTTCAATAAAGGATATTTGAAAGTCTTTTATAGCAGATAAAAAAGTTATCCTTAAAATAAACTCCTTACATGATGAAAAATGAAGTTAAAAAGAAAAGTTTTTCGATGTATTAAAACAAAAATCGAAAGTGACATTATAAATACTAGCTACTCTCTTCTCCGAGAGTTGCATGTCCATCGAATAACAAAAAAATTGTTAGCAAAAACCTCTTTGGTTGACGTAGTCATGGATGGTTCTTGCAATATCTTCGTGGTTGTTTTTCTTTGGTTACTTACCTTATCAAATGTTGATTTATGCATTTGCAGAACATCTTATGAGGTTCAGTGCCTTCCAAGTGAGCGAGATGCCTTACTTAAGATGAAGAGTCATCTCTCAGATCCTTCAAATAGGCTAACCTCATGGTCTCTCCATGCAAATTGCTGCAGCTGGGTTTCAGTTGTTTGCCACAACATCACAGGCCATGTTCTTGAGCTCCACCTCACGACTCCACCTCCTTTACAGTTTGGCAGCGATGATTTGTATGAGACATTAATGTTTGGTGGTGAGGTACATTCTTCCTTGCTTGACTTGAAGCATTTGAATTATTTGGATTTGAGCAGTAATAATTTTGGAGGCATGCAAATACCTGGTTTTCTTGGCTCAATGACAAGCTTGACATATCTTAACCTATCTAATGCTCGATTTGCTGGAAGCATTCCTCTTCAGTTTTGGAATCTTTCCAATCTGATCTATCTTGACCTTGGAGGCAATTATTTGGAAGGAAGCATTCCTCATCAAATTGGAAATCTCTCCAAGCTAATATGTCTCAATCTCAGCAGCAATGTTTTGGAAGGAAGCATTCCTCATCAAATTGGAAAACTCTCCAATTTACAATATCTTGGTCTCGGAGGTAATGAATTTAATGGAAGCATTCCTTGTCAAATTGGAAAACTCTCCAATTTACAATATCTTGATCTCGGAGGTAGTGAATCTAGTCTAAGCATTCCTCGTCAAATTGGAAATCTCTCCAATTTGCAATATCTTGATCTTGGATGTAATCAGTTTGGCGGAAGCATCCCCCATCAAATTGGAAACCTCTCAAATCTAATCAATCTTATCTCGGATATGATGAAAACCTTCAATGGGTTTCAGCTCTTTCTTCTCTTCAGCATCTTGAGCTGAGTTATTTAAACCTATCCAACACCTTTGACTGGTTGCAGGATCTAGATTCACTTCCTTCCCTGAGAGAGTTGCACTTGTTAGGATGTGATTTGAACCATCATTTTGAACCATCAACCTTAAACTTTTCATCTTTAGCCATCCTTCATCTTTCTGATTCTGAATTGGGCACTTCATTGATTCCAAATTGGGTATTTCAACTGAAAAGATTAGTTCATCTTCAATTAAAAGTAATGGTTTTCAAGGTCCCATCCCAGTTAGTATTCAAAACTTAACTCTCCTTCAACATCTTGATTTATCTGACAATCAGTTCAACTCTTCTCTTCCTGATTGGTTGTACAGTTTTAGTCATTTAAAGTCCCTCATTCTCTCTCAAAACCACTTGGTTGGCACAATTTCTATGAATGTTGGAAACTTGACTTCTCTTGTTACTCTTGATTTAAATGGAAATCTTTTAGAAGGATCGATTCCAACTTCTATGGGAAATCTTTGCAACTTGAAAAAACTGGATATTTCAAACATGAAGTGCAACCAACAAATTTCTCAAATATTAAAAATTCTTTCAGAAAGATGTGTTTCTCATGCACTAGAGATTTTTTATATGAGTGATTCTCAATTAGCTGGCCATCTCACTGACCAAATTGGTCTTCTTAAGAATCTTGTTCAACTTGATCTTTCTCATAACTCCATTCAAGGTGCACTTCCTGACTCATTAGGAAACATTAAGTCTTTGATATATCTTGATCTTTGGAACAACACTTTTAAAAGTGCAATTCCTATATCATTTGGAAATCTAACATCTTTAATGTTTCTTGATTTGTATAAAAATCAACTTGAAGGAAATCCTTTCAAAATTCTAGGATCACTCTGTAAATTGAATTTCCTTAGTTTGGGACATAATCTTTTTCAAGGGTTGTCAAAGAAGCCCACCTTGTTAATTTTACCCACCTGCAAGTATTATGGGTACGAAAAAACCAACTCAATTTAAAAGTGGACCCTAATTGGGATCCTCCTTTCCAACTTTTGGATAGTTAAATTTGGCTTCTTTGAATTTTGGTCCTCACTTTCCATCATGGATTCAATCACTAAAGCATCTTCTGTATTTGGACATCTCCGACAACAAGATTCGTGATTCAATTCCAACTTGGTTTTGGGGCATAGCTGGAAATCTCAGGTATTTGAATCTCTCCCACAATCATATTGAAGGAGAGCTTTCGAATACACTGATAAACTTTCTTTGGGAGTTGTTGATCTAAGCTCAAATAAGTTACATGGCCAATTACCGTATGTATCACAAAATGTGGCATTCTTAGACCTCTCAAGCAACTGGTTTTCAGGATCCATTACTCACTTTTTGTGTCATAAACAAGAGGAGATGGAGTTAGGTTTTCTTAATTTGGCATCAAATAATTTATCAGGTAAAGTACCTGATTGCTGGGCGAGGTGGCCATATCTTGTGGCAATGAACTTAGGAAACAACCATTTCACTGGAATTTTACAGACATCCATGTTATCCTTGCCAAGATTGAAAATGTTGAACCTTCGTAACAATAGTTTTTCTGGAAATTTACCGAGTTTTTTGAAGAACAGAAGTAGCCTGATTTCCTTGGATCTGGGAGAGAATCAATTTTCAGGAATGATTCCATCTTGGGTTGGACAAAGTTTATCAAATTTGAAGATTCTTGTTCTGAGATCAAACAAATTTTCTAGTCCAATTCCTCATCAAATTTGCCACATGAGTGTCTTACAAATCTTGGACCTCGCGCATAACGAGTTGACAGGATATATTCCAAAATGTGTCAACCATTTGAGTGCCATGTTGGTAATAAATAATAGTTTAGAGTCATACATTTATTTTGAAGTAGGTGGTCGTCAATTGTTAGTTGAACCATTATTACTGAAAGAAAGGGTTTATGATTACAGCTCCAACCTTGGTCTCATCACTAGTATCGACTTGTCAAACAATGAATTATCTGGAGAGATACCAACAGAACTTACAAGACTTAAGGGACTTCATTTTTTGAACCTTTCAAATAATCATTTTGTTGGCCAAATTCCTCAAAATATTGGCAATATGAAATCACTTGAGACTATGGACTTCTCAAGAAACCATCTTACAGGTGAAATCCCGCCAAGCATGTCGAAATTGAGCTTTATGAGCATGCTGAACTTGTCTTACAATAATTTGATGGGAAAAATTCCAACAGGGACCCAAATACAAAGCTTTGAAGCATCAAGTTTTGTTGGCAATTATGATTTATGTGGTCCTCCACTCAACAATAGTTGTTCATCAAACAGCTCCAGCAACAAAGAAGAAGAAGTCCATCATGTGAAAGGAATCAATTGGTTCTTTGTCAGCATGGCATTTGGATTTATTGTGGGGTTCTGGGCAGTGGTGGGTCCTTTGCTCTATAGTAGTTCATGGAAGTATGCTTATTTCCAATTCATTGATCGCATGTGGTATAAACTGCAATACCGTTGCTGCTGGTGAAAGCAAACTAGGCCAGATTTGCATTGGAAGGTTGGTGTTTGTAGAAGATAAGTGATTTATCTCTCTTTTAATCATATTATGCTTTCAATAATGTTGAAGTTGTTGATGAATAAACTCATTTACAAGGATTGTGTAGTTCAACTTTGAATGTCACATCGTTGTAATATATTTGTTGTGATGAAATAGTTGTGGGCTTAATAGATGCATTACAGATAAAATTAAGCAATACATAATTTTCTATCTATTTCATAAATTATCTTCAAAAAAGTACCATTAAAGATATAACGTCTACACTTTAAAGACCAAATTATAATATCATGCAGAAAACTCTATTAAGCTTTGCTTGTTTTGATTTCATACAAAGCTTAATCACCTATTAGCATTTGTTAAAAACTAGATTCAATGCACTATTTTGAGGAAGCAATACTCCATCTTACAAAACCTGTAACCATCAATAATCAAGTTCAACCCAAATAATAAAAACAGAGAGAAAAGAAAAAAAACTTTGTTTCCCAAGAAATAGAATAGGAGATTTTGCGATACCAAAGTCCTTTATAATAGAGTAGCCTAACATCAAGGGCACTTTCAATAAATGCCATTTACAACATTTTGCTTAAACAACTTTGTTATGAAGGAACATGAATACATAAGCTTAAACAACTCGTGGCAAATCAATTAAACAAATGCATCACAATCAACAAAATAATCAAGTCAAAGGTCAAATGTGAGTTCCCAACACAAACCAATCTAACCGACTGAATAACAAGAAAGACGGGAAGGGAATCATTAGTATATGTTTGGAATACCTTAAAAGTATGTGCAATTAAGAATGGAACATTATCTGCTGTCATGCATATGTCCTTTATGCTCTGTTTTCAATGATCACTTGCTATCATTTACGACTGAATGTTTAGCTAGTAAGATTGTTCTACTAATTTCAAAATATGATTAAGTTGCTTAAGGTTCCATAATTCTTACTAAAGGTTGAGACAAATATCTTAAATTTTACACACGCACGCCATATAAATATATACTCCTCCGGTCCTTAATATAGGACCCAATTGTTGAGTTGGGTTTGGTCCTAAATATAAGACCCATTTGTCATATTTATCAATTTTCTCTAAATTACCCCTAT